TCCTCGTATACGTATTTATGTTTTGATGGTAAATTAAGCACAGAGAAAATGTTACTTTCGCCTGCAGTAGTCATACTTCCACCGGTATAAATACCGGCGAAAGCTTTAATGCTCTCGTATGCATTAGTCCTTTCAATAACAGAAAATATATTATTACAATTCCTTCCCGATTCCGACTCATTCCATCGCTGACTGAGTGCCCTGCCAAATTTCTAAAAATGCGAAGTGTTGTCAACATACGTGCTATAGTGTTTCCAATCCAAGAAGATGGTTGAAATACCATGATGACGCTGAGAAAGCAGGTCACGAACTAATCTTTGATAAAAGTTTATTAACTAATTTCCACCAGTCACCTGGATTACTACGCCAGATAACATTGTTCTGCTATGTGCATTCTCGACACCTTAGTAGATTTATCTTAATGTCACATGTCAACCCGTTGTGGGGCGACGGGATGTGGAACGAGTTGCCACGAAGACAGACTCTTGATAAACAGTCGGTTCCTAAGTTACGCAACAGTGGAACGAGGTTATGCAACCCGCTTCTAAGCGCCTGCCGGTAAACAAGACTCCCGTGCAGGCGCGATGACTTCACACTGCAGTCGTGAGTAGGAGTCACGTGACCTCTGAGGTTCCGCGAATGACGTCACATACCCCCCAGACCGTTGCTACGCAGCGGTAAACATCACTTCCACTCTAGGCTGTGAAGTCACGCAGCAGTGGAGTCCGTGCCGCGACCGATGCTGCACACTCGCTCAGTAAACACGTCCCAACAATATATGCTGTTTTCTGCTTGGTCAGTGCGGAGGCAATATAATGAAAGTATTCGGCAGAACAGAAGTCAGTATTCGGGAGTATTTGAGAGTGGCGGAATCAAGCGAAGTAGAACCAAGAAGGACGTAAAGTGTGACTGGAAGATTTCATGTGTAATCTTTGTAGTGATTTGAAGTGACAGTTTCTGTGTGGAGATCTGTTGCTAGGAGACGACTAATGGAAGACAGAGAATCCTAATGCGTGTGCAACGGTGAATTGGAAAATGTGTAAATCAGCTATAGCGCTGTACCACATGTATTTGAGTGAAACTAAAGAGAGTGCGTAACTAAGTGGTTAATAAACCCAATTACCAATCCGCATGTCGTCTTCAGTAGCCAAACGCACTACATTAATATAATGTCGACCAAGAGATATCTATTTGGAATTTATTGGTGACCGTATATTACGAAAGTCTTGTTATGTGGTGCTTCAAACATCAACGAAATCTTATGAAGTGGAATCGCCGGCAGCGAAAATTGCTTCCCGCCACAACGTAATTCACCATTGTTCACGTATCAGTTGCACACAAGTACACGAATCTTGAAAACCGCATATTAAAGATAAACTCGATATTTAAGAGTAAGTCAAGCAGGAAACTGGAAAGAAGCAGCTGAAGAGAACATTTGAGATTCTCAAAGCAGTGATTAAGAAGAGATCTTCTGGGCTGTAACGCCGCCTGCTTCTTGATGGTTTCTTGCTTGGCTTACTGAAGATGGGCGCAATACGTTCCTCCGAAACGTCGGTGAAATTATACCGAACACAGCGTTACAATCCAAATGACTGTAGTCTATGTATGAAAGTAGCTTATGATCAATAGAGATCCTGAAGACAAAGTTTTTCTTTCTCATGCTTAGTAGAAAAAAAGAACTATAATCGATCTCAAGATTTTGACAGATTTACGTTTTTTTTTTTGCCCCCTGAATACGAAAATGATATTTTTGGAGTGCCGCCTGTATGTACATTATATCCAAATATGCTGTTGGATGAATGTTATTCGTATTAAACATTTAAAAGTTATCCGTCACAGCTCTGTGTCTAGTGAATACGTACGTTCTAGCTCCAAACATGTCAGCCATTCAGGCAATTCCTCAAATAAAATGGCCATTGGCACTAAATAGGCTCTAGCGACTTTGATTTTCAGTCATTTACAGTCAGGGGCCGCGCCGTAGTTCAGGCGGTTAGTCGCTGGCTTCCCACTGCGGCGGCCCGGGTTCGAGCCCGGGTCTGGTCATGTGGCATTTGTGGTGGACAAAGTGGCGCTGGGGCAGGTTTTCTTCGAGTACTTCGGTTTTCCCTGTAAATCTTCATTCCACCAACTGCTCCACAATCACTATCATCTATCATCTGGGGCTGGTACAATAGGCCGCGGTACCAAGTGGACTCAGTCTCATCCAATTACGAATAATAATAATTTATAGGCATCATCGCCCGTAATAAAACTGCATAGGCTGTATCTTCAGGAAAATAAATGTACGAACGCTAGAGGCCTAAATAATTACGTAACGCGTACATGTCCTGGCTTCTATAATCAGCGGTCAACAATGGTCTCCTGAACGACAATCAATTTGGTTTCCAGTGTAAGTCATTATAAACTGGATATGATAAACCGGCTTTCCAGAGGAGTGTGCTGAAATTAGGGTGTGGAAGACGTAGCGCCCCTCGTCGAAGGAGAAGGCCTCACCTCTAAACACGTACATGTCTACGAAAGAACAAAAATCTTGGTCAAGGATCTCGAGGAGACCTGAAGCCAGGAGTGACAGTGCTAGCGAAGGTCATCAACAATTTAACAGACCGACCGTCGAATTGCATTGTTGTTCGATGTTCAGTAACTACCTGCATCTACCGATCATCAATCGATTTCTTTTCCAACGTTACGTAGAGCCCAGCGTATGTAGTATGATAAAGCACGTGCCATGATTCTGTTAAAGGTTTATAAATTTATTTTAACATTACAAAACCTACCAATGATAATCCTTTAGGGATTAGCCTACATCTGGCACATTTAACAAACCTAATCAAAACCTGAACAGGCGGAAATTGCGCATAAAATGGATCTATAAATAATATGCAATAATTATTAACTGAGAGTTCCAGCTAGCCTCACCATACGGCCGAAACATATAGTGTAGAAGAAAGGAATACAAAAGAACTACAATAAATTGTTGCACTTAGGACGGAGTTTGTGTCATACATCGTGTAGAGTGTAACAGGATGCTTAAATATAAAATTGCTCACCATACAGATTGAAACATCTGAAGGAGAGCAGACGCTGCACGTTTAATTACTGTATTAGACTTGTTATATCGTGATATTTATACAAAATAATGGTGATTGAAAAAATTGGAACGGCGCAATGAAAATCATCTGAATTACTGTAGTTGTCTGTACTTGTAAAGAAGGTCACTAATACAATGTCATTTAGGATGATACAACCCGCAACTGATAGAGTAAAGGTTATAGTCCCGCCTGGCAACTCCTTATAATCACCGTATTTGTATCAACATATTTTCACAAGACTTGGAGGCCTAACTCTACAAGATAGGTTGATTATTGAGTTCAGTGCGGAGAAAGTACAATGATTATTCTCGAACGTCCACATATCGAAGATAAAGGTTTAAGGAACAGAAGGCTATAGGTTCTTGAAACAATAGATTACACGACACGGATAACCATTAAGACAGGGGTAAACAAAACCGGAAGCCGGAGATTCAGACGTCCGAAATTATGAAAACATCACTTATTGCCTCTTCTTCTACAGATAACGCTGAGGAAGTCCCAATTGACCAAGAACTCAAATTACAGAAATGCAGAGTGATTCACTAATTTGGACTGGAGCAGTGATGTTTTCAACTTCATATACCTCGTAACAGATGTGCACTTCCAGAATCAAATAATGTTGCTCCAAGGATATATTATTATATTTTTGCGTCGTTCTGTTACCTGCCTCAACATGCATATGCGAGTAGATTTATTTTCTTTGAAATTAAACATATAAAATCCGCGAACAAGAACCACCGAGATCAATACTCACAATTACAAGAGAAGAAAGGCCAGGCTGCAATATGGCGCACATCTGCGCTATCATTCTCATTAATTAAATTACCTTTCCACGTTCTAGTCGACGCTTTGGATGTCGCATGAAATGTGCAATAAGCAACTGAGTATTGTAATTTTTCACAAGCAATACTGCTCAGATATTATTTAACAGTTAATAAGTCTTCATGATCATTAAATGTATGCTACATGACTTGGTATTCTTAACATCTGATAATCTGCAAACATAAATTGAACGGGTGAGGCAATATCATGACCGGTCATGACTGAACTACAATCCCAACTACTGTAGCAACTCTCGGCTGAACAGAAACGGGATTACAAGATGCTAATGCAGTCGTTCCTTGCTAACCCCTTTTTTTTCAACTCGATCTGTACTCCCTCTTTGTTCTTTCCCCCCTCCCCCCGAAAGATCCGATGAACTGGATCTTTCCACCGGCGTCGTTCATCAGCGTTGACAGCATTAGACAGCTTACTAAATTCATTCAAGGGTTAACTTCATCAAACTTGTCATATTCCATTTTTAAATTAAATTTTAAGTTAACCTATCGCTGACATACTACTTAAAACGCGAGTCGGGAATCACGACGGATACTGCGGACTACGCGATTCGAGAATCAAGAGTCCCATCGCCGATGGAGGCGGGGCTATTCCTGTTCATCACTATGTCCAGACCGCTCTGGAGCTCAGCAAGGGGTATATGGCCGGGGCGTGCAACAACCAGTCACCTATATCTGGTGCCGAAGTGGAGAGGACCGCAGCTACATCTCCAGTCTCATATACATGTCATTCATGGTGTGTTGCTTACTTCATTACGCACAGGGTACCTTTATCTTTACTATTTAAAACATTTGTTTTGATTTCCTGTGTTATTACATAAAAGCCTCGTTAGCGCAGTAGGTATAGCGATTGGCTGGACAGCCGAGGTGTTGAGTTTGAGCCCAGAAGATACGTGTATAACTCTTCACTAAGTCAGCTGACAGCCCTGCTATGAAGGTGCGTACATTATGGCTTACCGAGTGTGTCCGCTACTGCAGTTCTAACAACAGTTATAATTATCAATTCAAACAAAGCACATCTCTTGCAAATATAAATACTACGTACATCTGGTGCGCTCTCCATTTTCATACTCACATTTATTCGGGTCCAGCCTCAGTCCCTCCAAAAATCGTTATCGTTTATCGAAAAATATGATCGATAGAATCCATCGAGAACGATTAAGAAAGATGTGTCGAAAGGTGAAGACCGTGAAGACTTACGTGGGAACTGTGAACATAATCCCTGCGTACAAATGTTTAAGGTTTCATCAGAGTATTTTCATGTATCTTACGTTTGATTGGATGATAATACTTTTTATTTCATATATTTATATCACACAGAACTCAACTATCAATACTAGATCGCGATCAGTACCGGTGAAACCCATGACCAACAAAACGTAAACCAGACTTAACCGCGAAATGCACATACAACTCCTCGCGGATTGATCCGTAGTCTACCGCTATGCCAACCTAACCAATTTGCAGGGGCGTAAAGGGGAAGTGACAGCTTCTAAGGTTGGAAGCGCCTTGAATAGGTCGAGGCACGCACATAAACTATGATAAGCCGATGTTTACCTGTTTATGGCAAATGGTAACATGTACAAAGGCCAGTTTTGATTTGGGCAGTGACTATTAAGTTTCAGTCTTCTGGCAAGGCGTTACTTCCCAGATGACATAATCCTCCAGCATACACACTCAATATTCACAAAATAGTAACATCTTATATTTACCCTGCAACTGCAGCCTTTGTAATCTGTAGTGGTGACACACTGATAATTTATTTCATGTAAGAAAACGTCTGATACATGTTAGGTCAAATAAAATATACGGAAGTGGATGTAAGTTGGCACTTGTTGAATTAGCCCAACGTCTGCATGATCTAATATGAGTAGCCAATTCCTTAATGGCCAAAAGGACTCTCTTAAGGCAACATTGCAATTCTGATGCCAAACTATTATATTATGTCAAGATAAAATAATGCAAGACCAATATTTAGTAAACTTCAAGAAACATAAATATTCAATTACACTACGAAAAATTGCTCATTTGGATTTACGTGCACTACTAGTTAAAAACTTACCCACATCATCTGTCCCCTTTCATCAAGTCCATAAATGTGGAAAATGGTGGGAGGAGGAAAAGGAGGGAATATGCATACATTCTGTAAAAGTAAAAGACTCTCTTCTGATGCCAAACACAGCTGCCTTGTGTGAATATACTCTTCTTCTACCCCAAAACTGTTTTCTGAATAGGACAGGGGAAGATATGTTTATGTTCTACTCATGTGACTACTGCTTGCAGCTTGTCATAAACATAACAGAAAATAAATTTAATAACAGCTTTATTATATATTTCTAGAGTTTGGTATTTTATATTCTAACAAAATATGTCCAATGTATGTCACACCAACAACATGATAAAACATCAAATTTCTATGGACATAAAACAAGAAATCAAACAAAAATATCCAAGTACACTTTCTGATCAAAGTAACCACATTCAATTCACAGACAGAATTATACCAAAACATACATAATATAAAAATAGGGTAGACATTCCACATATTATTAACATCACAGTTAATTGTAATTTACTATTCAATACTGTAGAATCAAAGTCCTAACAGACTATTTCTAAGGGTCTGCATATAGTTATACAATATGTTATTGATTACAAGCCACTTTACTTATATGCATGTAACTTCAAACATCCAAAAACAATGAGTTACAGTAGGCTCTCAAGTATTCACAGATGGCCTATGTAACTTTCTGAACCCCGCAGTTTGTGATTATTGATTCCTGAATTGATGTGTTATCCATTACATCTGTTTCAGCAATATGTATCACTGACAATTTACACTGCTTTTTCTGTATCTACTCCCTCTGTTGAATGTTTCCATTTCACTACTCCATTGATTTTCGTGGTCTACTACCACTGAACAATGACAGTTTTTTTCTTCTGTACCAATATCTGTCTGTTCAGTGACCAACAGCCCAACCACTTAAGTAGTAACTATACAATTTTCAGAGTTAAATGCAGCATGGCTAGTCAATGTGCCTAGATTTCTGGATTATTAATTTTAAACCATTCATGCTATTTCTCTCCTCCATCACTAAAGACAATTGACAGCTCATTGTACATGATTTTAAGAAAAAAACAGTTTCAGACAAATTTTTGTATGCTCTATCTTGCATCAAAAATGCAGCAAAAGAAGCATTGATTTCACGAGCCATAAATCAGTTCAGACAGAGAAATTAAGAAAGTGAGTATCATGAAAATTAATACTTATTATTTTCAGGTACTTGAACATTGTGGCTATTGTGTCAGTCAGAAAGAACACTAGTCACATGATCCAATTTGACAAGCCATACTTTAAAGATAAGAAAAAATATACCTGATATGGCGATAATGCTTAAGGGGGTATAGGATTAAAGTACATATATTAGATTGTTTGCAAATTCTTTGCCATACACTTTGTAGTCCTTGGAGTTCTGATCCTTCAAGTATATGCTGAGATGGTTTGGGTACATTATAATACACCATCTGCTAATTCACACTCACCACTCCTTGATTATTAGCAAGCAATAAAGAGAGACAGAAGATTCAGAGCTCTATCAGCTGACAGGCTGAAAATGCCGAAGTCACTGATATGTTTCATTAATTTCTTCAAAGATTCTTACTGCCTTAAATATGAGGCAGGTGGCCAAATGTGCCTCATACTGCTTTTTTTCCACTCCCAAAAGAGCTGGTCTCTTTTACGGACTTCCTTAGTACTGACCTCTAATATTCATTTTCCCAACCTAATGTCTTGGTTGCATGTTAAATGGTGACATATGAAATAATTAATTTGCTCTGGATATAATTCCCACTAACAACCTTGAATGCCTATCAGCAAAGTTACGGCATTCTTCAATGGTAATGAAAATCACAAACGATTCCTGTGACAATAAGTGGCAGCTGAAGTACAGACTCTTCAACAATTGGGCATGGGCAGCATTTGGTAAATTAACATTTAATGAAAGTGTAGTATTGCTCACCATTTGAAACATATCAGCCCCTTAAGGTATTAATTATCCAATTTAATGGAGCTTAGCGTACTTTCTTTATGTATGGAGGTGGAACATATATTTTATAGGTAAAACTGCCAATAATTTCGATATCTGTAGTACAGAAAAACTTAATTACAGCAAGAATCATCTCAGTTTCTTCAATCCAGCAGAAATTATCATAACCACCTTATTCAACTCTCATGGACATATTTCCATCAACAAACAAGTCCATTGTTTCTTTGTTAATATTACCCAAACTATCAGAGTTACCATTTTAACTCGATACATGTCACATTTACAAGCTGTCTGGGTTCTTCAGCTAAGATCAAGCCTAAGAACTTGACCCTAATCTTAAGAATTCTCTTTAACAAGTGTCACAAAATTTATGTTGAATCTGAAAGAACAAGCATGAAAAAAAGCCAGCTCTGCATTATGATTAATATGGCTTTCCTCTTCTAGCCCTATAGGTTTCATTCCATTACCAGTTAAAAATGATTTTTATACCTAACAATCTAAATTCTACGCATCATTTTGGGCAATAACATTTTGTCTTACTGCTCCCTTTCCTCATATAGGAGTATAAATAACACTAATCACAGAACAATCTGAATTTGTGAAAGCCAATCATTGCAACTCTTCAGAATTACAATTTAACTCTTTAACTCTTCAAAGTTACAATTTAACTTGTGCTCCTATAGAGCATGGTTATGTCTGAATTGTAACAAATTATAAATCTGTAAGAAACAAAAAGGTGTGTGGCCTGTTTTAAGATACTATCCTTCCATAAGCCTATGGGAAATGAGTGGAAAAAATAAAGCCAGGAGAGCCAGGTTTAGGGATCAAATCTTCACCTAAATATGAAGCAGAAGCAGTAGCAGCAACTACTTATGTACAGTCTATGGCCCACAAGGGGTCCCATTACTGTTGCTTTACGGACTTACTGCAGAGTAACCAAGTTCAGGCATGTAACTGCTATCACAAATCATTTCTATCTGTATTAAGATCTGTTCTGGTTCAGATCTCTGCTTCAACAATTCCACTATGTGCAGGACTTAGAAAATGATGAGAACCAGTGTCCTAGAACTTCACATCTGATGAGATGTTTTATGTAATACATGAGCATAATTGTGTGACAAATATGCTGTAATACATTACCATTAAAATGTTCCAGTTTGGATAATGAGAACATGCTGACCTTGTAACTTCAAATATTATTTTAATGCACTAATGAGCATACTATGGGATATTCTTACAATACAGTTCCTGTGATAGCTTTAAAAGTTCTTGAAGTACAAATTTTTTTTAAACTGTAATGAGTTTCTCAGAAAATGAAATTTTGTCCCCACATTAATTATTGATCCAAGCACTTCGTGTGTAACTTCCAGTGTAGCTGTAATGAAGTTACTACAGGAAACTAACACTTCAAAAGAAACACTCTTTTGGATTAGAAATCTATGGGTCCTGTCTACTTTATGATGCCCATGGTATATACTTCTAATACTGTATCTTATTATGTTCTCCAATGGCAGAGACAAGAGACATCATCACAGTACTGAAAAACCGAGGAGTGTAACTTCTAATTTGCCTCATACAAACTCAGTCATAATACTGGATAATTATATACAATTGTGAAGGAGTAAATCCATCACATGGTGAAGCAATTATTGGTGGGGAGGCTGAAGAATGAGTCAGTTACAAAATGATCACTACTACCAATTTAATAATGTTCCATCTGTGATGGGTATAAATGGGCAGTCTCAGCACATTCAGTCACATGTTCAAATACTGCTTAGAGCAAGGACATTAATTTGATTCTGACAGTCTACTGTTCTTATAATTGTTGTTAACAACTGTCTTGAACTAAAAGTATTTCTGAGATCTAGAGCTGCATGATGGATAAATACAAAATACAAATATGAAATCAACACACCTTTCACTAACAAGACTACATTTACAGAGTAAACTTTCTCTGATTTTCAGCCTGCCACTATTGTATACAGAAGACGCATATAAGATTTCCACAATGACTTATCAGAAAAAGTTATTAACTTCAAGTACAACATTGCCATAGTATCACAACACACTGAAACATATTCCACTCTTATGTAGAATACACTTACAGTTACAAGTGTAAACATACTAAAATAAAAAAAAATAATAAGGAATAATTCATATTTTGAGTTGACAAAGCAGTATTCCACAGCAGTCACATTGGTACTAGCTTAGCATAAAAAACTGTCAAATATTTTTGACATGGCATAACTGATCAGAAAGATCAGTGCATGATACAGCTGCAACACTGAGACTTTGAAAATAAATCCTGTGGATGGTGGGGAAAATGGTGCTTGAGGCTTCCCCCCCTGTGTTTACTATCTCACTTCCTTGTGATCTGTGTCAGCTAGCCTGACTGAAGGTTATCACTACAAACATGCCTGTGAACAGAATGACTAGATAGCCGGAGGGGGGTAAAAAAAGTGTCTAGTCTCAGGTA